TGGGGAGGAGGAAGGGGGTATCTATCTTTTTGATAACTTTTGAAGTCTCCTAAGTTGAAAAGGGGGTCTACCAAGTTCCCAGGCCAAATTGAGTGAGGCTACATGGCACCTTTAAAGTAACAGTGTTTATAGAAAGTAGACTGATAAATGTATTTTACTTTGTGCGTGTGTGTGTGTGTGTGTGTGTGTGTGTGTGTGTGTGTGTGTGTGTGTGTGTATGGAAGCCGGAGGTTGATATGGGTATCTCCTTCAGTCACTCTCCACCTTTTATTCTGAGACAATCTTCCATGAAATCCTGAGCTCACCAACTTTCTAGACTGGCTGAGGGCAAGCCGACCCCAACGATTCTCTTACCTCTGTCTCCTCAGCGCTGGGGTTACAGTGCGCGCTGCCATGCCCAGACTTTAGGTGGGTGCTGGGGACCAAACAGGAAGGGGTGTGTGGCCCCAGACTCCTGTCTCTTCCCCTCATCTTACCTGCAGTAAAGACAGTAAGGTTTGGGCTCATCCTCCTCATCCACTGTGGATGGAACATCTCAAGGGCCTGGAGTTGGAAGCGACCTGAAGATCCTCTGCCTTGGCTGGTCATTGACAGCAGAGTCCAGAGTTATGGCGCTAGTTAAGGACAGAGTGGGGACAGAGTGGTTGCTCTGATTGTCAGATCAACTCTGCCTCTGTTGAGCACCTTACCTCCGCCCCACTCCCCCAGCAAAAACATGGGGGGTGGGGTGTTGCCTATTTTGCTGGCCTTTGGTGAATGCCTCAACCAGTATGGTTTCACTTGGTTTGGCCCAGGATGCCCATGACGGCCCAGCATATTCTTCCATGATGCTACTGCGTGAGACAGTAGGTGCTGTGCTGTTCCTGGGGTCTTCTGGCCGCTGTCCTTCATAAAGTGTGCGTCTGTTTCCGGCTCTGTCCCACCCACTGGTGTGGTGGTGTTTTATCTGATCAAGGAGGCAGTTTTGAAATGCCAGGTTACGGTGAGTCAGCCCTTTTTGATCACTTTTGAAGTCTCCTAAGTTGAAAAGGATTTTCACAAATAGGAAGCAGATGTGTCTGAGTAAGAACATGGAAGTCAGGCTGTGAGACCCTTCCCAGAGGCTCTGCGTTCAGGCTGAGCCTGGGATCCGGCTGCTCCGAATAGAGCCTTGACGCTGGGAAGCAAGGGAGGCGAGGCTGGGGTTGGATTACTGCTAAGTCCCCTTGTCAAGGGAAGGGCACTCTGGGTCAGAGACTTCCTGGAATTGGGGCTCTAAGCGTAACTTTCCCAGGCAGCCATTTTTGAGTTAGTAATGGTGCCGCCTGGCCCAGGGTGAGAGAAGTGTGGCTGTTTCCATTTGGTTGGAAACTGAAAAGTCTGCGCAGTGGTTTGGTAACTTTTCTTGTTTACAAAGACTCCTTTCTTGTTCATTTCATTTCCCCTTTCAGATTTCTTCCCCCCACACACATTCATTTATTGGTGTGTGTGCACGCCCACATGCATGTGCATGTGTCACAGCATGCATGTGGAGGTCAGAGGTCAGGGAGCCCGTTCTCTCCGTCTTTCTCCACGTGGATTCTGAACATTGACTCCAGGTCGGAAGGCCTGGTGCAGGTGCCCTTCTTTACCCGCGGAAGCATCTCGCTGACTCCTGTCCCACAGACTGACTCCTATCTCGCTGCATGTTTATGGTTTCGTATAAAATGTTTTCAATATGCAGAAGGCGGTGGTGGGTCAAAGCACAGACTTTTCAGTAACGCGGTTCAGAAACCGGGCGGGCCACTTCCTGCCTGTGAATCTGGACTTAAGTCTTTTTTGAAGAAAAGGGAGCAGGGCTGGAAGGTGACTCAGCCATAAAGTGCTTGTCTTGCAAGCGTGAGGAGCTGGGTTTGGCCTCCGAAAAAGCCGGGTGTGGTCGTGTGCTGTACCTGTGTCAGCTGGGAAGGCAGGGAGAAGAGGATGTCTGGGATTCCCTGGCCATACATTCTCGCCTCACAGGGGAGCTCCAGGCCAAGGGGAGACCTGTCTCAAAGGGGTAGATGGTGTTTCAAAGGATAACGCCCCGGGGTGTCCTCTGGCACACACACTCAAGTTGTTTTTTGTTTTTGTTTTTTTTTTTAAATCAAGAAATTTTGTTCATTTACTGGAAATAGTTAGACAACTTTTAGAAGCGAGCTACCACATTGCCAGAGTGTGAACAGTCTAGAGAAAGGGACACAGCTGAGCCCCTTCCATCTAGATCTCCAAGCAAAGGGTCACGTCTGGGATGAGGTCAATGGGGAAAGGTACCTTCACCATGGTGGGCGACCACTTCTCTTTCCGCTGGAACAGCCTTGGCGGCTCCTGGAGATTCAAACGTGGGAGGGCAGCGCCCTCTTCTGGGCACAGGATAGCTCTGTAGAGTATCAAAGAGCCCAGCACGGTCCCAGGCACCAAGCATGGCAACTGTTCCAGCCTGGACGGAGAGACAGGTTTTATGTGGAGGACAGGATCCCGCGGGACCCTTGCAGACCAGCACAGGCAGGGGAGGGCTGTGGGGCAGACCTAACGGGATCAGTAAGGAAGCTGGCAGGGTCAGCATGAGGTGGGACTGACGGTGCCCAGGGACAGTGAGAAAGATCTGGGGGGCGCTGGTGAAGGAACAGATAGGGTGATCTTCAGATCTTGTGCTGTACACGTCCCAAGTCTTGTTAGGATGTTCAGTCTTTTCCCATTTAGTCGAGTCACCTGCTGGCCGCACTTCGTGCCCTCCCTGGCACTGGCTCTTGGTTACCAGGCCTCTAACTCTGCCTCTCCAGCTTCTCTTTCCTGCCCTCTTCTCTTCCATTCAGTGCTCCTGTAGCACGCAGTCCCCATCACAAAGCCATTTATGACCCAAGGCCAGCCCTGCCTGTGTTTTAGTTGAGCTGGACGGCCAGTACTTCTCGGGTCACCCCATTTTGACTGGTGGGGCCTAGGTGCTGGAAAGAGTCCCGGTTGTGTGGTGTAAGGGTCTCGCATCTCTGAAATTGCCCACTTAAAAAAAAACAAAAACAAAAAAACCTGTGTTTCTAATCTTATCCACTGCATGGTGCCCATAAATAAATTCCAAAGACAGTGGCCTGGGAAATGAGAAGCATCTGACCACATTA